ATATACTATAAACCTCGAAGAATCAGGTTTATCCACGATAGGTGTACAAACTGCATTCTTAGATATTTGCACTTGGTCCCTTGTAAGAAAGTTTTTCCTTTCCATCGGTGTATGTACCACATTATGATACCAATTGGACAATATTGTGGAAGGAGTTTGATTCTTGTTCAGATCCCCAGATTGTTTGTTCTGTGGAGTTTGAAACAACTGCTTATGTGATGTGCATGAATTCGGATGCACATTAACTTGCATATGTTTTAATGGAGTTTCCAAAACCAAGTGATTAATCGTAGGTAATGACTTGCTCGCTTCGCTGAGAGAAGGTGTATTAAATTCCGTACACGTATTTTTCGCGGGTGTATATTTTTCATTCGCTTCATATTTCGTAACATTCTTTTGTGAACTATATCTTATAGCATGCATCAGGTTTTCAGACGTCTGGGATATGCAAGTAGCAGATTCTGACAGAGTGTTCGTAATCTTCTGAGATTCCTCTTTATTATCCTTATTTGCCTGCTCGATGAAACCGTATGTGCCTTTGTATCGTTGATCATCCTTACTTAGATTCAGCTCGCTATTCCTTGTTAATAACATCTTATTTTCTCCTGATATGCTGTATACGGATCCTTCTTTTCTTTTATTTAATATATCTGACATATACACATTTTCGTGATGCAACTGATTGCTATTTATTGTTTGAAAATTCTTATTTGAATCTATGTTATAATCCCCTTTATAAACTGATAGTAACGGTGGAGGTAAGGCTACATTTGTCGAATGATTATAAACAGTATTTGCTTGATTCCCCGAAGCAAACGTTGTTGCAATGTGATATTCCTGTGAGTTTTCTTCGTGTTTAGAGCTGCAAGTCTCTAGTTTACTCAAATCGCTAAGTGAAATATGACTTTCAGAATTTATATCGCTAATTTTACATTGTTCCCTATCAAAGTTTAGTCCTTTTTGTATAGAAGTGTTAGTCACAATTTCAAGATTCTCTTTTGGCAATACACACGTAGCTTTCAAAGCTCCGTCCGTTGACTCAATCGATAATGAACTGTTTGTTTTACGTACAGACGATTCCTGTAGAACTTCAGTAAAATCGTCTTGCGGCAAAAGCTTGAAATTGTCTAACTCATCCTCAGATTGACAGGGTTTCTCCTCGCTCTCATCATCGTCCTCGTCGCTTTCACATGCTAGAAGCGCTTTGAGGCGTACTGGCTGAGATTTTGGTAGTGTAACATTCTGTGTAAGCAATCTGCCAGCGCTTATATTATCAAAATTGCATCCGTCGTAAGATGTATTTGTCGTAACTGTATTTGTCGTAAGATCCGACATTATTAAAGATTTTTGAGGTAATCTTCACTAATCTCTATAAGAAAAAAACAATATGATAGAACACATATATCAATGTATTATAATCAATTACAGTTAATTTATAAAAAAAAAGTATTATGACAAACATAAAACATTAAAAATTATACCAGTTGCAATAATTGTGAATTTTGTTTTAATATATTTGCATAAAAAAAGAATCATTAAAAGATTTTGACATATAAAGCCAAGTAGACTTAATAAAATATTAATAGAAATTACAAGATATTGTACACATATGTAATTTTCTTATAAACTTATTATTTTTTTTACTAAAAATAGATATATTTTTATTACTGAATTTATTTAAAATAATCTTAATTATAACAATATTATATATAAAAATATTATTTTTTAATAATAACGTATTATTTTAGCTATTATAAATCTCTTCTTCAAATATATGTAGTAAAATAATTTTTTAAAATTATTACATTCTATTAAAGAATTACAAAATTCCAGTTTTATAAATATCTTTTTATGATAAAGCTATATTAAAAATAAAGTTACATGTTGATATTTTATCCAAAAGATTCTATAACTACATACTAAACTAATATACTAAATAATGATCAATATAACATAGAAACAGTTTCTTCATAAAATAACATAAATAATACAATAAATATATCATTTTTATATAAATCTTTATTTATATAAAGATCTTTATTTATATAAAATCTTGAGATAAAGACTTAACAAATAACTCTATTTTAATACAGCTCTAAAAAGATATCTATAAAACTTAAAAATATTATAATGAAGCGTTTGCGTAACACACAAGTTGAATAAGTTGTTATTTCTCATTATATGAAGCAAGCATTTCTCAAATAAAGCTTAAATATATAATAGATTCATATAGCAAATATAATACAAAATAAATATGTTAAACATATAATATGTATTAAATGTATATTTTACATAATAGATTTAAATTAAATAAAATATAAAAATTAATATGTACTTTTCTATATAGCTATTTGTTTTCATCGTAAAATAATGATTATACCGAAACAACAATATTGAATACAGAAACACAAATCATATTATTTATATGGGTATAAATTAATATTAATTTCATATTCCATTGCAATATAATTAAATTCTTACTGTTAAAAATTTCTACTTGGCAAATTTATTCAGAAATTATTTATTTTTACCAAATAATTTGTTATATAATATATCATAGGAATTAAATAAGAAATTACTTTTATTACCTTAATTAGGAGATTATTGTACAAACAACAAATTTGTGATTGTCATTATGAAAAGCGTAGTATAAATAGGAGTTAATTTTTTATTACTTTTCTTTTCCTAATCTCTTCCTCTCTTTCTGCAAGATAGATTTCCAGCCAGCTTAATTTCCATAAGCTTCTTCAAAGTAAACAGTTACCTGAAGAGACGTATCTCACATGTGTACTAGGAATCCATCGAAAGAGAGAGAGAGAAAGAGAGAGAGAAATCGATGTCAAATCTATTCTTCAGTGATCGATCTCGCGATCAAAGCACACAGATCAAAGAGAATTCGGAGAATACCTTAGTTGCGAGTAGACGAAACACGCACCTGTCAAACTGAGCGGTCTGGAGCAGTCTCTGTAGATCCAAATCATCGATCGACAAAAGGTACACTATACACGCACATCACGAGTCCATCTACACCCGTTTACACGTTATGCGAGAATGTTATTTACATTCTGTTACATTCGTACGATTTCTACCTATGTACACTACATGATATCGTCACTTCATGCATTGTTTTCAAACTTGAATATCTGTTAATGCCTGTTCGAGACTGTCGAAACTCTACCGGTCGGCCAAGTCACATATGGCGACTATGGCGTTTGAATTCGTCAACGCGGCGTTCATTGGTCAATGTCTAGGGACAATTAGCGGCAAAATGCGATAAGAATATTTTAGAGAGAAATTCCCCGCCTTTGGCGGGATATTTGAATGTAGAATCTATCATGTTCTTGTATCTTCATATACATATACATATAGAAAAATTGGTTTATATTTTATGAAATACATTATAATAATATTGGTATATTACTAGAATATTATTCATTATATATATTGTATGTAATTTGATATTATACATAAATAATATTATTTATACTCTTAATAAAAGTATTAAACATATGTAAGTAATAAATATTTTTAATGATCGAGTAATTAATAAGTTTAGATTAAATTTATATCGAATTATTCGCGTATTTTTTTAAAATAAAGAAATTAATTAGTCGGTCTTTTAAGATTTGATAATAGCAAATTTATTTGATTTTTAAATTTCAACATAAAATCTTTCATAGTGCAAGTTCGATCACAACTGTTTCGCTGATCGATTGATATTTAGGGAATTTTTGGACGAGAAATTTGTATTCTTATTGCTAACGCATGGAAAATATACTTTTCTTTAAAACTTACGCAGAACATAAGCAACAAAAAATCAGTGAAAAGTGAATCGCTCGATCACAGTTGAGACGTTAACATTAGTCTTATAAAAATTAACTGTATTTGTATATGTGTGAGATACAGATTGCGGAGAAATGTACCGATCTAATAATTTATATGTAAATGCAATTGACATATATATGGTAATAGTAATTAAATGACACATATTTATGCAAATCTATTTTAAAATGAATTTGTTATATAAATTATAAAAGAAAAAGAACGTGTAAATAAGTAATATTTTAATTTAAAGTGGAAAATACAATACAACAGTTTTCCTTAATACCAACCGATTTAGAAATATGAAATCTATTTGACTAGATTTCATCGTTTCACAAACGATTGTACTTAATACAAAAATGAAGGAAATGCTAGTAATAGTTTTGCTGCTGTATGTTAAAAATGGCGTACACAGAATTTTATCTCCTAATTGCGAAATTGTCCTCCCACCGATGCTAAATGTCCATAAAAATGTCTCGGGAACTGTGATAGAAACTGAAACAGTCGGCTTAGTCCTCTTCTCTCTCATTGGAAAATGCACAGTCTTCGTTTCTGAAGCTTCTCCTCCTCTGAAATATTGTCTCACGCTTTACAGTTTTTATTGTAAATTGTCCACTACCTACGCAATTGTTAATAATAATAAATCGTTTCTGTCACAGTTCGCGCACAAATTACTCGGCGATTAAATTAAGTTATACTTAATAGCTATTCTTTCCTTTATACATTATCTCTCGTCTTGAAAAGAACCAATGTAAACCCGGTACTATTCGCTTCTCAACTTTTCCAGGAAGTCCGCTCCTGCACATGTTTAGGAACTACTTGGCAGCAAATATGATGACACAAGCGATTCGTACAAAACGGGTATGTGTTCTATTTATAATCATCATCTCTCTTCTTATTTATGATCTAGTAATTATTCTAAGCGTGTTTTCCTTCTCCTTCCCTCTATTTTTAATGAATAATGCTCAAAGTTTCTATACAAACATCATATTGGTTCTTCACGAAAATTACTGTTGCTACAATTTAAATTAACATGACAATGATTCACACGATGGAACTAAACGCTCGCTCTTCTCTGACTTTCTCTCTTTTTTTTACAATGAACGAATCGAAAAAGTTATGAGCGGCTTTGTAGAACGTATTCTTCCTCGCGCGACAACATATTGAGGAAACAGAGATATAAAAAATATTTTATTTAAATCTTTAAGAACGAAATTAGGAATTGCGAGTAATGAAAGGAAGTATTCTAGGCTACTCCGAAGATAATTTTAACGTTTCCCGTTATTATAGTTGAGAGCTCGTAATGGTGCTTTAAACGTGGACGCAGATTGTTGCTGAATCTGATATGCTACAGGATGAATTTTAAAGCCGTATAATCTGGAAAATAAAAACTATCTTTTAATTTCATATTCTATATACGCGAAAAATTTAGTCTCACACATTTAGAATGAAAACGTGCTACATATACTTAAGTAAATGCAATAAAATAAGTTGCATATATCGGCAAAAAAAGATTAAAGTTGATCATCAGTCAATCATCTCTATCTTTTATATTTAATGATTATTTTGTTCATATAGACAATAATGAATAAAAATAGATAAATCTAATCATTCAAGATTGATAGAATCTACAGAAAAAAATTTAGAACCTATTAGTACAGTATGTACAATAATACTAAGATCCCTTAGTAAAAGTGAATATTATTTATACATTTGCATAATATATTTATTACATAAATATGATTTCATTTTATTTATATAATTTAATCATAAAATAACGAAATTCTAGTTTAAAATTTTCCTAACCAAAAACAGTATTTTGAACTTTAATCTCTTTTACCATGCAATTAATTATTCCATTACTAAAAATACTTTTATACGTTGATGTGTAATCTGATATTTACCTAGGTACAAATTGATTTGCTGCACGTTTTGGTCTATATTCAGGGTGGACCATGAATAGCATATGTGGAAATCCCGTTCCAAAATACGCTCCGTCAGTATGATGATGTCTCGAGCTCTTCGGTGTATAAACGTCCATGCACTTAGGACAGTAACTCTTGACCATTGCCTCGCCAGGAACATCACTAAGCCCCAGTGGCAACATTGGTTGGGATTCACAATAAACTCGTGGACAATGACCAAAATCGCCCGCTTGATACTTTTCGATCATTTGAGCAATACCACGATTGGTAAGTATATAACGTGCGTGGATGAGACCGTAGAGCATCTCCGCAGCCTGCTCGATTAAGTCTGATTGATTTGGATTATCGTCCAGATCATCATCTAACAAATAAAAATTGAACAAGAAATATTAGAAGTAATCATATGACATATATCTTTGTTTGTCTTCAATTTATTTGATACACTCAATAATAATTTAATTTATTGCTTAATAATTTATTATTAAAACAACTTACCAGGTTCAAGATCAAGAATCATATCTAATGCCTGACGATAATGTGGTACTTGTTCATTCAACCCCGTTAAATTAAATTTATCTTGAATATAGTCCTCATCCACCTAGATAAGATTTAAATGAAATAAATAAATAGTAAAAAGGTCTCATATTTTATTCTTGCATCCAGAAATATGCTAGAAAGAAATTAGAAATACACTTTTAATAATAAATAAACTTTGTCCACTAAGCAATATCTTCATAAATTCATAATCCATCACTAAACAAATGGAGATCTATCTGTTTATTGTGTTATTTTTTTGTGACTCTTAATTAATTTTTAACGGTGATGCAGATTAAATGATAAATTAATGATACAAAATATATGAAAATGCAGTACTTAATGCTTAATGAGACATAATTTGCATGGAAAGTTAGGATTTAAAGTGTACAATTATTATAATAAAAAATAAAGTTAAAAAAAGAAATTGTATATTTTAAAGCACAGCATCAATTATACATATAATAAGATAGCTAATGAAACGATTATGAATAGGAAAACAAAGTAATATTTCTTGTAATCCTGATTCTTGTTTATTTATATTAATTATGCCAAAAGAACGTAAGAATAATTTGGCTTTCCAGTGTTAAACACAAGTCTGTTTTTCACTCCTTTCTTTTGCCAAATATCAAACATATATTTATTCCACTTTAAATTCTAAAAGTACGTACTAATTAAGCTATAGAAAACAGGTTTGAATCACATGTTCCAACATGCTCTTACCATAACTCCTATTCATTCTACGTGTTCATTGGAGTAAAGAGGAGCTAATAGTAGAAGCATGTTGAAACATGTTGGAGCATATAATGTGAAACTTTAGACTTCATGTAGAAAAAAACCTTATAAATTTTAGACAGATAGAAAATTGACCAATCTCATTGTTCAAATATGATCTGTTAATTTCTATTCTATGTAAGATTATGGAACATTCTAGCATCATGAACACAACGAAATATATGACTTTGAAATAAAAACTAAAGTGAAAAGGAAAAAGTTAAACCATGCAAGTTCTGCTTTAAAAAAAAACAGTTCTAATGCAATTAACAATAAAAAAAACTAACCTATAATTCGTACGATTAGAAAAATTTAAAGATTTAATTTGTCTAAAAAAAAATATGTATAAAAATGTGTCAAAAGGTATTGCTGAGTTTTTAAATACACCGAAGGTAACATTGATGTTGCGCTCCTGATCACTCACCTCGCAAAAGAACTCGTTCCCGCGTAAACCACAGAACCACGAGATCCAGGACACCTCCTCGGAGCTGCTCATTTTCCTGCGGCAGAAGAAACCGAGGGGAGAATTCCGTTATTAAGTATTAGGCGTAGTAAATGGGGAGAAAAGCGACCAAGGCCCGATGAAGAGGTTGCACGTGTCACGCTCAGTCACGCTTTCTCGTTCGCTCGATGGCTCCTTCACACGGTGTGTGAACGCGTCGTCGTCGTCGTCGTCGTCGTCGTCGTCGTTGCCCACATTGTGTGCAGGCAAAATTGGTTAGAACAGCGCGAACGCGGGATGCGACAGGGGGAGACGGAGGTAAGAATAACGGACGGACGTACAGACAGATAAACGTAGGACGGAGGGTAGCGCGGGGGGGTGTGCAATGGAGCTCGCTTTACTAGGCAAGATGCCCGACAAGTTACGGCCCGTCCGGCGCGTTCACACCTACGTTTCCGTGGTCATTGCTGCTTCGTCAGCTGTTTTTCGAGCACGATGCACAGTGGGACGCGGCCAGGAAGCGCATTACTCGTGCAAATTGCCAACGCGGAGCACAGCTACCCGACGAAAAACCAAAAATAAACAGCCCTCGCGGCTTACCTTTTGGTGCTTTGATTAGCCACGCTTGCTCAACCGAACGGAGTATAGCTGGCGCTGTCGGTGCGCGCGCATCACCTCTGCCATCTTCCGGCGCATCGCGAAACGTTACAAGATTTGTTTAATGGTGGATTCACACCATTCACTCTGCGCACGATATCCAATAAAAGAATTCAATTCTAGTTAGCGACATTTTTGTCTCTAGGAGATAAACTCTTCTATTAGATATCAGATGTCATATATATATATCGGATATTATATGTAGTATGAATCCAGTATAATGTTGGATTCATCATTACGATTGGCGATTGCTAGAAATTTGAACAAGGGAAGCAATACCTTTCTAATTGGTTCAATAGACGCAAATGCGAACATAGTAGTCGCCAATCCATTAATGATACACGTATAAAGGGCGGTATTTATAGTCGATTCTTATATTCTTAAGATCTTCTTAAGTACAATCTTAAGATGATGATCAATCAGAGGGTCATATTAGCATCTTAAAACATTGGCTGCGTTCAACAGAGAAAACAGTTTTGTAACTGTTGTAAAATTAACGCGACCATTGCTTAAGATCGTGAAATAAAAACGAATTATGAATATCGGCCTACAATATAGGTCTGTTTAATAAAGTCAAATATGATTTGTTAATTTTTTCTCTATCTATTATAAAATCTCAGAATGATTCTAACATCCTCTGGACATAAAATTAACATGAACCAACAAAAACAATTGTATTTTTCTTAATATTTCATAAGGCCTACACACAATGACGAAAATATTAAGAATAAGAACAAACATTAAGATTTTATCCTATTAGAAACCGTTTATTTTGGTATAACAGGTTTCTGATAGATTGAGGAGAGTCTCAGATGCACATGTCTCAATTGGATACATCCACTCATATAACTAGTAATTACAACCGATGAGAAGTTATTATCTCGTTTTTATTAATTAGCAATGTAATAGATAATCAATTAGAGAATCAATTGTATATTTTGAAGCAAAAATGGTAAAAAAACAAATTCATTAAATGCTGACTAATGAATCATAAATATTCTAATATCAATGAGCAAATTCATTATATGTTGATCAACAAATTACAAATATTCCAATAAATATTTTAATTCTTTTGGTCAGTACTCTTTAATAAATTGACTCCTTAATGAATTTTTGTAATTTTTCATTTTATTTTAAGAATTATAATAAATTCCCAATGGACTGATTGTGTATTTTAAAATAAGGTGAAAATTATAAAAACAAACCAATTCATTAAGTGCTGTTAATTCATTAAGTAATCAATAAAATATTCTAATTTGTTCATTTTTTAATTTTTATCTCATTTCAAGACACACAATTAATTCACTGGGGCTTATTATGATTCTTGAAATGAAGAAAATTCATTAAGTGTTTTTTAATCAATATGAAATTATTCTACATTCTAGTAAATTCGCTTACTTTTATAGATTTTATCTTGTTTCAAGAATCATAATAAGTCCTCCGGAAATTAATTGTGCCACATTATTCTTAATTTTATTCTTGGTTTAATATAAGATAAAACATAATTAAAGGTTTCAAAAAACATTCCAAAGATTACAACAGAGACTTTAGGTTTGTTTGCATCGCATGCTTCAACATGCTCCTACTTCTTCCAATCGTAGTTTCCACTCAAACGCGCTCGTTAGAGTAAGTAGGAGCTATGGAGAAACATGTTGGAGTATGCAACGCGAACAAATCTTTTTATAACACATAGTGCACAAGAGAATCAACCAAAAAATTCTTCTTTTCTGTGAAATGGAAGAAAAGAAAGGATTATGATTGATTAATTCTTTTATATACTGTGTATTGTGTTATACAAAAATCTGTACAGAGCCTCTATTCTGACTGTGTTCCCAAATTGACTGCCAGTACTGAAAATCTATAGTGCACGTAACGTCAACTGTAGCATTTTCAGTAAATTTGAAACACAGCCTTTGTAACTCTTTAATACCCATTTCCATCAATGTAAATTAACTTAAATTAACTTAATCTCGATTCAACTTACTCGTTTTTTTCTAATCTTTTTTTTCTAATCTTTAAAACTAGAAAAAGACGAAGAGTAAGTTAAAACGATTAAAGTTAATCTACATTGGTAGAAACAAGCACAAACAGTAACGACATTATTGCACAGATTTTATGATAGAAAAAGCTGTGCAACGATGTCGTTACTTTTAACGAATTATAGAGGGTACCTGCTGCCGTAACCATTAAATTAAAATAACATAAGACTCGTTGCAAAGACACGATGTAAAATATATATTCTTCTTTTCAAAAAGAGAAATCATTAATATTAGTAAATAATATATCTGAAATGAGCTTCAGAAACTCTTTCTTCATTAATGCTAGTATTATTTCTTTCACTTTCTATATAATTTATGATTTTTCGTATATACCTTTCAAGATTTGTATTCCTACAGCTTTCCGTTACTTCTAATATTTCATCGTCTTCATCACTGTTTTCAGAAGAATCTATTAATTTTTGCATAAGTGCAACTGCTGCTAATGCTATTCCTAATATTGCTGTTTCCATCGTGGCTGCTGTTAATACCAATCTCTTCTACGATCTCGTTCTATCTGCTGTTAAGTTTGATTTCAGCAGAGTAGTAGGGAGCCTATAACCAGAGTGACGTCATACGGGTAACACTTGTGATTGGTCCGCCATGTTTTAGCCATTCCCTCCAATTTTTTAAACGCATTATTTTCTAAATTTTGAATTCATGCTAGAAAATGCTCAAAAATTGACAAATTAAAAAATGATAATAAATAAATATTGTATATAAAATAATAATATATATAATATTGTATATAAAATAATAAAACTTTTTCATATTATTTATTATAAAATTTCATTTATTTTGTATTATTGCAATATTGTATACATTTAATATTGCACATTACTTTATACAAAACGTTATTTATTGCACATTATTTGCGCTATGTCGAAAACAAAATTTATTTTAAATAATATAAGAGAAAATAAATCGCAAAATGAAACATATTTTACTTAAAAGAATGATACATCGTCATAGATTTACTGTCATAATATTTGCGATTCGGTAATACAATTCTACGCTTATTTTTAAATTTTAAACGCACTGTAGCAAATTTTTTAAATAGCTTTAAACACAAATTATGACAATCAAGAATATGATCTGTGGGAACAGAATCTAATTTATTAACTAAAAAGGTATGTAAATTTACATTACGTATTTTTTTAAAGTAAAGACTATAATGTCTAAATATTTTCCAATTGTAAGAAAACTTGAAATGTTACCTTATTAACAAAGTATAACGTATTTGCGTTGTAACATTTAATTCTCACCAGAAAATTTAAAATTTAATGATTTTTTTGAGCCAACAGATTCTATGCAATTACTACATGAGGTACATGTTTTTTTAAGAGATGCCAAACAATATCCTGCAACATTATATAAATATCATTCATCTCTTTGTTATTATATGTTATTGTTAAATTATTATCAAAAGGAGGAATTTGAGACGACCAGTAAAAAAAAATTGAAAATTGCGATGTTCTAAAAGATATTCTAATAAATTAATAATTGATGTTGTAGAGAGTATGATGCCTCTTTGTATAGGTTTAAATTTATCTTCACTATCTATTTTTATTTTCGTAAAAAGATCTATTATTTCACGAAGAAAAGAATGTTAGCATTGTATATTTCTTTATTTCTTATACCCAATGTTGTACAACATGTTTTAGAAGTCATTAATGAGAACCACTTAGATAATTGTTTAACAAACCATGGGGTTGTAATATATTCTGGCTTATGATTTTCATTAACTAAAAATTCTAATGCACTACTGACATGGGTTGAAAAAACATTTTTTGCTTTGTTTATATGCATTTTATTGTAAGTATTAGTAGTTTTGATATCATCAATATTTAATCTAGGCGTCAGAAAAAATTCGAGATCTTTCTGAGATTCTATTAATTCATTAAAATATTTAATTTCAACTCTGTTACATGTAATTTATACTTATTAAAAAATTCTTCTGGCAAGATAAAAAATTTGTTGTTAAGTAATGATTCTTTTACATTTTTCAAAAGACATCTGCAATAAAATATAGGAATCTATTAGGATCAGAAGGATGGGAAATACAATTTCTAACGTCTGAATATCGTCCCATATTTATCCCACAACATTTCCATAGTTTGTCATTTCCAGGATCCATATCAGAAGTTATATAATTAACATGAAGACCAATTATTTCAACTTTATGAATTATCTGTAGAATGATATCTTTTAAAACTGCTCCATCAAATGAGTCGCCTGTATAAAAATAATTCACAATATGCTTCCATCGATTAGCTGTACCTGTTAACATTAATGTTAAAGCATGCGTTGCATCTTCTTTATTTGGAATGTTATATTTCCTAGTTTTCGTTGAAGAATCATAAACATGTTGTTGGTGTTATACTTATTTCATCAATAACAAGCCCACATTCTTTATCAATGTCATTTTGAAAAGAAGATACTTTAAATTATAAAAAATCGAACATTTCGTTTGAAATATCACTCTCAAATTTTAAATTTTCCAATCTTCGTTGTAAAGTGCGCAAACTTGGAAGTGGTATTTTTTGTTGTAGAAGCTCTTCATAACCATTAATACCACAAATAAATCTCAATCTAAGTGCACGTTGAACAGTTTCATTAAGCCAATTTGTTTTTCGTTTTTTTGTTAATAAAACTTTAATTTGATCTTCATTGAATACTTCTTTTAAAGCTTTTTTATATTGATCATTATTATTTTTATTTTCAAGTCTTAATATTCTAGCTCTTAAAGCACTTATTTTTTTGCGCATAAGAATTAAATGGATTTGCATTTTTCGATTTATTTCTTCTAATTTTTTGTTTTTATCTTTTTCTTTTTTTCCATCGATTTCTGTTATACTTGAAGTACATTTTGTTGATGTATTAGGATTGATTATTGATGCA